CTAAAAAAATCACTATTACGATCACCCCTACATGTATTTTAGAGGTTTTTGACATTTTATACTCATTTTACATTTACGACATTTTATACAAATATGTAGAAAATTAAAAATTTGAAGTTATAAACCTAAAATATATTTACGACATTTGTACAATTGTGTCAAAAATTAATAATTTGAAGTTGTAAACCTATAAAATTACTACAACGATCACCCCTACCTTCAATATAGAGGTTTTTGACATTTTATACATATGTTACAGTTACGACATTTTATACAATTGTGTCAAAAATTATAATTTTTAAGTTACAAACCTAAAAAATCACTATTACGATCACCCCTACATGTATTTTAGAGGTTTTTGACATTTTATATATATTTTACATTTACGACATTTTTTACAAATATGTAGAAAATGGAAAATTTGAAGTTGTAAAAGTAAAAACCACTTCAACGATTATCCCCAGATGAAATCCAGCAGTTACAGGCACTCACACACACACAACACCACATTTACACACACCTCCGCCCACACCCCCACCCTCATCCACTTGTGTGTTTTTGGGGGAAAGTGTATTTATCTTCTATTTTGGCAAACAAAAATTAAAGACAATACAAACCTATTAACAAATATTATCCAGCAATCCGAACTAACAGCATTTTGATTTGTTGTTCGGCATTCTTTGTTGATAACTTTTCTTTTTGTTTTTGGTTTTGTGATTTTTGGTTAATTCAATTTCGGTTTTGGTTTATTCGGGATTCAGCGGCAGACGACAGACGGCAAAGTAGGAACAAAAAAACTGAGTTATTGTGTCGCAGGCATTTTGTAGATAAAGGCACACATTACAGATTTTTTTGTCTTGGCTGAATATTTTTTTTTTGTTACACCCTAATGGAGGAAGGCGATATTTACGGAGGGAGCTCTTCTTCGGTTTTTGAACGGCTTTTAAAAAAGTTGAGGATTTTTTTCACTTAAATGATTTGATTTGTAATTGAATTTCGATTTTTTATTTAATTTTCTTTTCTATTGTAAAAAAAATTATTGCAAAATTTTTTTGGCGAGACACTTTCACTGGGAACAGGCTGACACACACACGCACTCACTCGCTCGCTCACTCACGGTAATACACACACAGAACTTCACACTGATAACAATGGAACAACTAAATATTTGCACCGTCTTTTTTTCTTTCTTGCTGTTGTAGTTGTTGGTGGTATTCGCTACTCAATAAACATCGACGGCGGGACAACTGATAAGAAACAACATGACTCAAAAGGACTACACGGAAGACTGACTAAAAAAGCACAACTCAAATGAAATTTTGCAGGCCCATAGACAACAGCAGCAACCAGCAGACGTCGACTGTCGGCTGCCAGCACCATGGAGAGCGTGGTGACAAGTGGTGGGATCTGTAACACTTTTGCTACTGGTGTTATTGTTCTGAAATACACACACCAAGCCATGTGTCGGCATCTTGGCCTAATGTTTTGGTGGTGAAAAGCTTTTTTCAGACTTGGAAGCTTTTTTGCTTTGACAATGATGATGATAATTGCGGATACATTGTTGCTAAACATTTTCTTTTGTTGTAAAGAACAGTGAAACATAAAAACTATTTTTCTATAGAAAAACATCAATTCAGCTAAAGTTTTCTAGGAAGAAACACAATTCAGCAAAGGTTTTCTATAGAATTATATCGATTTATAAAAGTTGTTCTACAAAAAATCACAATTCAGCTAAGATTTCAACCGAGAAACACAATTTAGCAAAGAGTTTTCATAGAAAAACATATATTCAGCAATGATTTTTGATAGAAAATATCAATTCAGCTACATTTTCCGTAGAAAAACTCAATTCAGCGAAGGTTTTCTATAGAATTATATAAATTCCTTAAAGTTTTTCAATAAAAAATCACAATTCAGCTATATTTTCTATAGGAAAACACAATTCAGCAGGGAGTTTATATGGGAAAATATACATTCAGCAATGTATTTTAATAGAAAATATCAATTCAGCACAGTTTTTCTAAAGAAAAACATAATTCAGCAAATGTTTTCTTCAGAAATATATCTATTTATTAAAGTTTTTCTATAAAAATATATTATTTCATTATAGTTTCTCCATAAAAAACACAATTCAGCTCAAATTTATATAGGAAAATATAATTGTTTTTAATAGAAAAAGTCAATTCAGCTACGATTTATAAAAAACTTACATTTAACGATGGTTTTTGATAGAAAAAATCAATTCAGCTACATTTTGCCTATAGAAAACTCAATTCAGCAAAGGTTTTCTAAAGAATTATAACCATTCACCAACGTTTTTCTATACAAAATTACAGTTCAGCTATGTTTTCTATAGGAAGCCCCAATTTCATAGAGAAACATATATTCAGCAATGATTTTTGGTGGAAAATATCAGTTCAGCTAAGATTTTTCATAGAAAAATTAATTAAGCATCGATTTTCTATATAAGACCTCAAATCAGAATATTTTCTACAGTAAAATTCCAATTCAGCAAAGTTTTTCAATAAAAAATCACAATTCAGCAAGGATTTCTATGGAAAAACACAATTCAGCAAAGAGTTTTCATAGGAAGAAATACATTCAGCAATAATTTTTAATAGAAAACATGAATTCAGCTACATTTTCTGTAGACTCAAACTCAATTCAGCTAAGATTATTTATAAAAAATGAATTCAGCTACATATTTCTAAAGTAAAACTCAATTCAGCAAAGATTTTCTTATAGAAAAACTCATTTCAGCTACGTTTTTTAACATTTAAACCAAATTTGGCTAGTTTTTTTTTACATAAAAACTCAATTCAGCAAAGATTTTCTTATAAGAAATCACCATTCAGCTATGGCTTATATTTGAAAACACAATTCAGCATAGAGTTTTCGGAATAAAACATACATTCACCAATGACTTATAATTGAAAATATCAATTCAGCTACAATTTCTGTAGAAAAACTCAATTTAGCTAAGACTATTCATAAAAAAATTAATTCACCTAAATTTTTCTGAATTAAAAATAAATTCAGCAAAATTTTTTATAAAAAACTCAATACAACATATGTTTAATTATTAAAAAAATCATTTCAGCTAGGTTTTTTGATAGAAAAACTAAATTCAGCAGTGTTCCGATAGAAAAATTCAATTCAATGTTTTTGTAGACTATAATTCAATTCAGCAAGGTTTTTCTGGAGTAAAACTCAATTCAGCAAAGGTTTTTTCATGAAAAATTCAATTTAGCTACGTTTTTTAATAGAAAAACTATATTCGGCAAAGTTTTTCTGCAGAAAAACACAATTCAGCTACGTTTTTGAAGGGTGTAAGCCAATTCAGCAAGCTTTTTCTTATCAAAAACTAAAATTGGTTAATTTTTTACATAAGAACTAAATTCAGCTTCTATTTTTCATAAAAAAATTAGTTCAGCAAAATGTTTTCTTATTAAAAAACTCAATTCAGCAACGTTTTTGTGGATTATAAGTTAATTCAGCAAGCTTTTTCTTATTAAAAACTAAATTTGGTTAAGTTTTTTACATAAAAACTCAATTCAGCTAGGCTTTTTACATGTAAACTCAATTCAGCTGTATTTTTTTTAGAAAACATAAAATTCAGCAAATTTTTTTCAGTGGAAAAACTCAATTCAGCTTCATTTTTGTAGAGTATAAAGTCAATTAGGCGACGTTTTTGTAGAGTAAAACTCAATTCAGCAACGTTTTTCTATAGAAAAATTCAATTCAGCTATTTTTTTTTATAAAATTATTTTAATCTATGTTCTGACTTCAAAAGATTCCAACACGTTTTGTATGTTTTATTAAATTGTTTGATAACTTTATCGGCACTTTTGAAATAGATTGTTGACACATTTATTTTTTTCGCAAATCCAAAAACTAGCATTTAAGAATATTGGAAAATCATAAATTAGATAATTTATTGTCTACTTTATCAGATTGAAATATATCTGGAAGAATATTCATAATTAATTATTCAAAATCTATAAATAAAAAAAATCTGAGATAATTAAAAAATTACTATGAGATAACTTTCATTAATCCCACAGGTTTTTAAGTACACTGAGAAAAAATGGGTATTTACTGTTCTTCTTCCAACTTAAAAAAAATTCTCAAAAAAGATTTTTAAAAATCATTCACCTTCTTCTATTCCCAAAATGTCTTCAAGAAAAAATTCTCTGAATAATTTTTCGTTGGTCCCTCTTGAGTTTTTCTTTCAGTGTCCATTAGCTTTTTAATTTCTAGTTTAGGGATTCTTTGCATAAATTTATTAATAAAGAATTTGCATATATTAAAAATTCATAACAATTTAAAAATATAGTTTTATAAAAAAGTGTTTAAGAATCTGTTCAAAAGAAATAGAACTTTCAGTAGCCAATATTCTTGTCCTCAAGCAACATCAAAACACACACATTTTCAATAATGAAAGTATTAGGAGTTGTTTTTGCCATTTTGGCCTTGGTTGCCTTATTGTCTGTCGTGGAAGCCAGAAGGTAATTGAAATAGAAATACATATTTAAAAAAATAAATATTAAAATAATTTTCGTTATATATCAGTTATCAATTTGTTTCCGCCAAATGTGTTGAACACAACACCAATCAGCAGTTGGATGGACCATTGAAAATTTGCACCTTCCCACCGAAACACAAACCGGTGTCACAGGAGGAAATCAATGCCGTTATACAACACATACAAACACTGAAATTGGATTAATAAAAAAATTGAGACTGAAAAAAATAAAAAATTAAAAAAAAGAATTCTGTTTTATTTTAATTGGTCATAACCGCTTTATTGTTTTCCTTTATTTCCTTTTCTTCTTCCTTCTTTTGGCTACATTTCTTTCTTATTTTCCTTCATTGTTGTAATGACTTTTTTCTTTTGAGTTTAAATTATTTTTATTATTATTACGATTACTCTTCTCGTTCCTAACGAATTTACAAAAACAAAATTGCTAAAACAAAAAAATCGCTAATCGCTCGCTTCGTTTTTAGTTTGAAGCTCTAGCAGCGTATTGCTTCATTCTAGCCTCGATTTCAGGTCGGAAGTGACGAATCAAACCCTGGACAGGCCAGGCGGCACCATCACCCAAAGCACAAATGGTATGGCCTTCAATTTGTTTGGAGATTTCCCACAACATATCGATTTCAGATGGATCAGCGTTGCCGGTGACAAATCTGGGGGAAAAGGGGAAAATAGGAAAGTTAATATTTAATTAAATATTTTTTAAAAATCTACGCCTTCAAAAAATATATTTTTTAAAAATCTACGCTTTCAAAAAATATATTTTTTAAAAATCTACGCCTTCAAAAAATATATTTTTTAAAATTCTACGCATCAAAAAATATATTTTTTAAAAATCTACGCCTTCAAAAAATATATTTTTTAAAAATCTACGCCTTCAAAAAATATATTTTTTAAAAATCTAAGCCTTCAAAAAATATTTTTTAAAAAATCTAAGCCTTCAAAAAATATTTTTTAAAAAATTCACGCCTTGAAAAAATATTTTTTAAAAAAGCTACGCCTTCAAAAAATATTTTTTTAAAAAAACCAAGCCTTCAAAAAAATATTTTTTAAAAAAATTTACGCCTTCAAAAAAATTTTTTTTTAAATCTACGCTTTCAAAAAATATTTTTTAAAAAAATCTACGCCTTCAAAAAATATATTTTTTTTAATTCTTCAAAAAATATTTTTTTTTTACATCTGCGCCTTCAAAAACTATTTTTTAAAAAATATAAGCCTTCAAAAAATATATTTTTTAAAAAATATAAGCCTTCAAAAAATATATTTTTTAAAAAATATAAGCCTTCAAAAAATATTTTTTTAAAAAATATAAGCCTTCAAAAAATATTTTTTTTTTAAAATATAAGCCTTCAAAAAATATTTTTTTAAAAAATATAAGCCTTCAAAAAATATTTTTTAAAAAATTTACTCCTTCAAAAAAATATTTTTTAAAACATCTACGCCTTCAAAAAATATTCTTTTAAAAATCTACGCCTCAAAAAATATTCTTTTAAAAATCTACGTCTCAAAAAATATTTTTTTAAAAATCTGCGCCTTAAAAAATATTTTTTTAAAAAATCTACGCCTCAAAATTTAAAAAAAAACGAAGCATTCAAAAATATTTTTTTTTAAAAATCTACGACTTCAAAAAATATTTTTTTAAAAATCTACGCATCGTGGATTTTTCAAAGGCTCTTCTGAGTGCGAAAATCATTTCAAAGGTCTTTTAAAACTTTCTACTTTCCTAAAGAGCTGCTAAATGTGCTCTGAAGAATTTTGAAAAAATACCTTTTGGACAGGTCATCTACAGAAAATTTGGACTAAAGACACATTTTTATGGATTTCTAAAGACCTTTTGGAGCAGTCTTCAGAGAACTTCTGGGGGTCTTCAAAATACCATTTACGGGGGTATTCAAAATACCTTTTAAAAGGGTCTTCCAAAGACCTTTTAAATATGTTATCTAAAGGCTTTTTGAAAAAGTTTTTTGAATGAATTTGAAAACGTCTTCTATAGACCCCTTTGGATGATCTTCCAAATACCTTTTAAATAGTTATTCTAAAGGCCCTTTTATCGGATTTCTAAAGATATTTTAGAAGGTCTTCTAAGTACCCTTCAAATGGTCTTCAATATACCATTCAAAATGGCATTTTGAAATCCTTTTAAAAAAATTATTTTAAAAATTTGTTTTCCAATAAAAAAACACTCCTCCAACTCACCTATCCATAATTTTCTTCATCCAGCCGATACCCTCACGACATGGTGTACATTGTCCACAACTTTCGTGTTTATAGAATGAAATCAAACGAGCGATGGCCTTAATGACATCAGTTTGTTTGTTCATAACAATGACAGCTGCTGTACCCAACGAAGTTTGTGCCGCAATTAAACCATCAAAGTCCATAATAACATCGGTGCAAACATCTTTGGGAATAATTGGTGTCGAGGAACCACCGGGGATGACACCCAACAAATTATCCCAACCACCAATGACACCACCACAATGACGTTCAATCAATTCTTTCAATGGTATGGACATTTCTTCTTCAACAGTGCATGGACGATTAACATGACCGGAAATGTTAAACAATTTAGTGCCAGAGTTACGGGTACGACCGAAACTGGCAAACCATGCACCACCACGGCGACAAATTGTTGGAGCTACAGCAACTGTTTCGACATTTGTCACAGTTGTGGGACAACCGAAGACACCGACATCAGCAGGGAATGGAGGCTTTAGGCGGGGTTTGCCCTGCTTGCCCTCGAGGGATTCAATGAGAGCGGTTTCTTCACCACAGATATAGGCGCCAGCACCACGATGCATAAAGACATCAAAATCGTAGCCGGTACCACAGGCATTTTTGCCAATCAAACCGGCTTGGTAGGCTTCGGCAATGGCCAATTGCATGTTGGAGGCTTCATTGTAGAATTCACCGCGGATATAAATGTAGGCCGCCTGGGCACCCATGGCACGGCCAGCAATGAGACAACCTTCCACCAACTTGTGGGGATCGTGACGCATAATTTCACGATCCTTGCAGGTACCGGGTTCACCTGAAACAAACACACACACAAAATAACCTCACTTTATCAGAAAACACCAGACAATAAATGTTTAAAAAGTCTTACCTTCATCAGCATTGACAACCAAATACTTGGGGCGACCATCGGAGGGTTTGTTCATGAAAGACCATTTCATGCCACTGGGGAAACCAGCACCACCACGGCCACGAAGACCCGATGTTTTGATTTCATTGATAATCCAATCGGCACCCTTCAGTACAATTTCCTTGGTTTTGTACCAGTCACCGCGCTTTAAGGCACCCTTCAAACGCCAATCATGACGCCCATACAGATTTGTGAAAATGCGATCTTGATCGGCCAAACCACCAAACTTGGTCTTGGTCTGTGGTGGTGGAGTACCGGGTGGTGGGGCTTGGGTGCCCTGGAAACGGCGTTGCAATGCAGCCGGAATGGCGCATGCTGTAAAAAGACAAACACAAGAATTTCACAACATTACATAAATTAAAACAAAAAGCAACAATGCGAGGTAATTAAATACTAGATGCATTAATTGGAATAATAAGACGGAAAATGTTGTATTTTTTTCATAACTTGGTCGACAACGTTGTTGTTGTTTTTCAATAAGAGTGAAAAAAATTACATAATTTTCACAGATTCCAAAGAACGACATTGGCGTTGATTGATTCCGTTACAGCTGCTAGCGGCATTGCAAATAATAGAAGATTTTCCTTGCCATTTCACCTTTCTATCCAATTAATTGGATTTTCTATTTAAATACTTACCAATTTGCGATTTTTGTAAAATATTTACTCGCACAAGTGCTCCTGCCATCGTCTCGATAGAATGACACAGTTGCTCTTTGCCGTATTGACAGCTATAATTGCCGAAGCAGCAGCAGCTGCTGTTTGGAGAGAGACCAAAACAAAAGAACACTGTGTGCTTGCGATGTGTTATCAATTGTAGGTGATTTGTATGTGTGAGAGAGAGGGAGAAGAAGAAGACTATTAGGTGATTTATGTGATGTATTAATAATAATAAATATATAAAAAATAATATAATAAAAAGAGAAATAGGCGTTTCCAATTAAAATATTCAGAAATATTATAAAGTGAATTCCAAATACAACAACAAATATTAATCATTCACCATTACACTGTGTACGTTTTGTTATCAATCATTGGTGCATTGTCTGCCAGAAGAACGAGGCAAATATCAGATATTTTTCTTTGCCATAAAATAGAGAATTCTTAAAGGGATTTTGAATCGAAAATGCAAGTTTTTGGGAATTGGGAGATATTTTTTTGATTATAATCTGGTTTTAAATGACGTTTACATGTAGGGTGTTTTATTAGAACATGTGATTTAAATGTTAACCAGAGATTTTTCTTTAAAATCAATTTAAACATATAAATATTCTTTATACTTTTGCTTCTGAACATATGTTCCAACTTATTTGTACCAAAAAAATCATTCCCTATACGGTTGGGAATTTTGGTATTGAAAATATAATATATCGGTCCACGTTTTGACGAGTTAGAGGACGTTTTTCACTGAATTAGTCGCAATTTGGTACTTTGAGTTCCCATTTGGGAATTTTGGTGGCAAGTAATTCAACCAAAAATTTTCTATATTGGATAGCCCTTTAAGAAATCCCCAATATAAACACAAAATATTCAGTATTTATTGGATTTTATGGCACTTCTTCAACCGTATTGGCTGTAATTGGGTATTTTGTGTCCCCCCTACGAAATATCACTATTGTCCACTTTTTATGATAGTCCTAATATAACGTTACCCCCACTATTCCGTATTTTCGACACGTTTTTTTAACGAATTTAGCTCCTATTTGGTTCTCGGTGGGTGTTAAAAATGTATACCAAAAATTTACCCTGACATAGCGCGCCATTTGTGAAGGTCCCGAACATAATAATTTGAAATTTCCAGAAGCTATAAAAAGTTCGGCCCAACCGAACATATAGACGTTTTTACATGTGTTTCAATTAAATAAACCACGTTTTAGATATCAATTACATTTTTGTATTCCTTTCCTGAAAATAGGTTCGACGTCATTGTTAGATGCTGAACGCAAGATCTATTACTAAGATCATCCAGCAAGCGAAAGTTAGCTGTTTTTCCCTCGTGTCTAATGTCAAAAAATGTGGACTTTGTTTACATTTTCATAATGAAAGTCAATTCACAATAATGGCTTTTGACAGAAAATTTGAGTGGCAGGTGATACCCATATGGTCTCCCTGGATGACCTTATAGATTTTCAAGTACAAAATCGGTAGATACTGCTGAAATTTCACGTTCAAAATTCGTAAGAAGTTCACATATCGTCGTTTGCTTTTTAGCATACACCAATGCCTATTAATAAGGTCGTTCATGAAGACCAGCTGCTTTTGAGGTTTGCTGTCAAAATTCACTATTGTAAATTGTCTTCTCAAAATAAAACATTTTGACATTTGATCTAGCAATTGATGACTCAATCAGACCACCCATATGTCCTCTTTACTGGAACTTTGAGACGTTCTTTGACGAAAGATCCTATGAACTTTGGAACAACGAACCTAGGTGCAAAGTGACAAGATCCATTTGGCCGACTCTGTCTACTCAAAAGGTTTAACCTGAAATAAAAGTAATGACAGGAATCATTACTGGTCATTGCAATATCAGGACTTTAACTATTAAATGGGATCTTTAGGCAATTGATTACTGTAGACTCTGCGTTGATTACTGTAGACTCTGTGTCACTGTCCAGCCCTGGCTTACAGGCGGTACAGACTTGTGGGTGATAATTTTCCACCGAGTCTTAGCTTCTTCTCAACAACTGAACCTGCTCTAATCTATAGCATAATTACAAACCTAAAGTGGCTGGGAAAGTGCAGCCTTGACACGTAATATATCTTCTGTCTGATCTCTATAGCCATCGACATTATTCCAAATTTACCTTCTTATATCTTTCTCATCTCTCTTTATTTCCCCAAACTTCTTTCCCCTATAGATCTCTCCTTATCCCATTTCTTCTCGTGTATGATCACAATCGACCTGACGGTCTCAGAGTGCTGCAGTGTGACGACTGCATATCCCCAAACCTAACCCTAACCTACATTAGACTTGAGAAAACAGATGATTTTCGATAGTTAGGTGATCTTATTAATAGATCTTGATCAAATCAGTTTAAAATCGTATATGTAAATTTAATTTAATAAAGCCCTAGTAGACTTTTTTGCTCATTACAATCTCTTTATGATATTTAATTTTAAATTAAGATGTATTCGCTCTCCACATTCCAATCCAATTAAATGAAACTCTGTATAACACCCTTTAAATCCATTTTATTCGATTTTTCTTTTTTTCATTCTGACGGTTGAGATTTTCTTAAGTTACAAATAAAAGTGTTTAGGTTAGGTGCAAGTTTTTTTTGAATAGCCATATTTTTTTAATTTGTGCAAATTTTCACATAGTTGATTTTGAATTTAAAACGATTAAGGTTATTTTATTGAAATGCCTAGCAAATTAGCTTAAAATATATTATATAAATTTCTATGCTAGAAATGCGGAAAATTTCATATCTAAAATTACCATTGACTGACATTATTAAATTCGATAAATTTTTTTGTGTCCTTAAGAAATAATTTTACATTTATCGTTCAAAGGAAACGATTATTTTTATTTACGAAATCCACTCGATCTCAAGTGTCAATTCCATAGCGTACACGTCCAATATAATACACAGGATATGTGAACATGATTAAAGTGACGTATACGCTATGGAAAATGACATTTGAAATCGTGTGGATTTAGTAGCCTTAGGCTACGTTTAGACTACTAAATCCACTCGGTCTCAAACGTCAATTCCATTATATATACGTCGCGTTAATCCTGTTCACAAATCCAGTGGATTATATTGACGTATATGCTATGGAGTTGACATTTTAAATGGAGTGGATTTCGTAAATCTAAACGTAACTCAAACGCGTTTTAATAATCGTTTCCTAAAATACGTTTACATTGATGCTTATTAAGAATTATTTTAGCGTTATGTTTTGTTTTATAATTTCATATATATAATTTTATTATATGTTTATGAGTATATTAATATATGGCACTATTTTCTAGACTATATACTTAGATATAATTAATATCAATATTTATATTTTGTTTATTTTCGCAAATATAAAATATGACATTTCAAATACAGAGAAACACATGGCGCTAAATATGTGTTCTATAAGATGTTAATGCTGTCATATGACATGTCACATTAGATATTTGTTTATATTTAAGTTTTATAACATAATTTGTGCTTAATAACTAATTAATTTTTATAATTTATATATGAAGAAATTACCACACATTCAAGGTTTGATTAATTTTTTTTTATAGGGATATTCATATAATGATAATATTATTGCTCTCACCATAATCATAATTCTGGTAGTTTACTTAATATTATATTTATTTTTATAAAGTGAATAGCATTATATATGGCTAAGAATAAATTCATTTACTTAAGTAATTAATTGAATATTTTTTATTATTATTAATATTTTATATTTTTTGAAGCGTTAGGGAGTGCGAATTCTTTTTAAGTCAATGGGAATAATTATTTACAACATGTGAAATTTTGAAAAATATTTAAACATTGGGAATAACTTTCAAAATGAATACATTAAAAATATATTCAAAGAAATGTCTTCAAGTATAGAATTATGGAATCCATACATGATCCCCAGATTTGTCTTGTCGCCATACCATCATAAAATTTAAGTAAGCCTGAAAGAAAAAGGGAAACATATTTATTGTTAACTTTTAAAACTTAAGGCGCATTTAGACTGATAATGATGATAATTATCTCCATTTAAATGCTAAATCGAGCTGAATTTACTTCGATTTACCATACAAAATTAGAGCGCGCTTAGACTACTAAATGCACTTGTTCACGTAGCGAACATGGTTTTCAAATAATAGAGATAGTGAATATCTTGCTGTGGTTCTCTTGTGTAAAGAAGATAATATGTAGTTAAACCTGGATCTATTTTCGTATACAGTCCACTTAAGATAAGATATTATATTGGTTGAATGCTTGTACACAAAGAAATAAGACGTGCTTTCACTACGTGGACAATATCCACGTGAACCACATAACAGATCCCTCGTTTAGCATTAGTCCTTCGAGCCGGATTAGTGACCGAAGGTGAAAAAAGATATACTGAAGAATTCTGTCAGCTGGTTAGAAAATCTACAGGAACAAAATAAAATTTGAATAATGGAATGCTGAGTCAAAAGGAGATTCTGGGCAAAATGACAGCAGAAAATATGCGGTAATAGGGCTATATTCCCTGGAGCACGAATCGGTAGAAGACTCGGCACCGACCAAAGATAAAAGGCTTTAAAACTTTGTATGGTTTAAGATCCAGAAATCTGAAAGAAGTCTCAATGAATTGAGTTTCGAAACTAATCTTTTGATGTACTATCCGCAGAATAGATATATTCTGGAAAAAATTAAAGAAGTAAATAATCGATATGAAATATCGAAGTGGGAACTACTTCAAAAAATGCGGAAGATATTGCTAGAAAAAGTCAATCAGGAAATAATGCGTGGGAAGTGTGAGCCGCCAGTTGATAATTGTGTTGCAGATATGAAGATAAAGAATGGCGATGAACCGACAACACAAGACGATTTGATATGTAAGTAAAGACCGTTAGTTACGGATGTCCCTGTCATGAAGATTGCGGCTACACATCCTGTAAATGCGGCCGGGAAGTTAGACGGAAGTAAGGAAGATTTTGTTGGCAATAAGAATGTAGAAGGAATTGAGCAGACAAAAGCAGAGGGTTTGACTGAACGAG